TTTCATGCCTAAGGCAGGACTAGAATTCCCAGTCTCCTGGTGATTGGCCCAAAGTCATCCAATCGGCTTCCATGCCTAAGGCAGGACTAGAGTTCCCAGTCTCCTGCTGATTGGCCCAAACTCACCCAGACAGGTTTCATGCCTAAGACAGGACTAGAATTCCCAATCTCCTGGTGATTGGCCCAAAGTCACCAGCCGGCTTTCATGCCTAAGGCAGGACTAGAATTCCCAGTCTCCTGGTGATTGGCTCAAAGTCACTCAGCCGGCTTTCATGCCTAAGGCAACACTAGAACTCCCAGTCTCCTAGTTTCTAGCCTGGTGTCTTAACCACCAGACCAAATTGGCTCAGTAAAAACACTAGAGTTTCTAAATAAATGCATTTTTTTTATAAAGAGAGGGGGAATAAAACAGCCGAGAGTTTTTGGGGTGACCTCCCCTTTCAGTCCCCCACCAGCAAGGCATTGTGGGAGTTGAAGTCCAAGCCCCCCATTCTCCCTCCCCCTCCCCCATTCAGAAACCTTTTCGCCTGTTTTGCAGATATAACCATGAGTTGATGTTCGGGGTGTCGGTGAAGAACATGAAGAAGGACGAGCGGCTGATTTTCGGGGATTCCATGATGACGCACGCCATGGTTATCACCGCCTTCACGAAGAAAGTGAGTCCCTTGGGGCGAACGCTTTCCCCTGCTTTAAATTTCCCTGTCCTGGAGCTTGACCAGGTTTGATGGACAGGACGACGGGTTATCAGATAGACGTCAACTCAACAACGACTTACATATATAGGGCCTTCTCCATTCGGTTGGTGTCAACTCTTAGCTAGGTCCGAGGGGTGGAGAACGATGGCCCTTTTGATGACTTGCGGACTTCAACTCCCAGAATTCCTGAGCCAGCCAGCATGGCTGGCTCAGGAATTCTGGGAGTTGAAGTCCGCAAGTCATCAAAAGGGCCATCGTTCTCCACCCCTGACTTAGATAGACCTTCTCCGTGATCTGTCCCAAACCTGGTCCTTCAAGACTTCCAACGGTTGACCCATCGTCACTCAGCCCATCCATCTTGCTCCTGCTTGTCCTCTTCCCTTCCACCTTTCCCACCAAGATGGACTTCTCCAAGGAGCTGACCTTCGTGTTGGTTGTTCTACCAAGTCAGTTTGGCGACCACAAAGATGGACAATCTCCAGGTTGAGATGAGTCCAGCCCGGTCTCTCATCACCGCTAAAAATAAGTTCATCCGTTAAAGTGGTGATAGTCCACCCTAGGAAATCTTGAAGGACCACGCGTGGGACAAATCATCGTGCAGAAGGTCTATCCAGGTGGTTCCTGAGAGTCAAAACCTGATCTGTCGGTCAGTGAAAGACCCAAATTGAGAAGCCCATCATGGTGGAAAAGGGAGAAAAGAAGACCAGGGGTCTTCAAACTTGGTAACTTGACGACTTCTTGACGACGCTGGCTGAGGAATTCTGGGAGTTGAAGTCCACAAGTCCTCAAGATATCGAGATGGGAGACCCCTGGAGAAGAGGACATGTTGGCTGAAGAATTCTGGGTGTTCAAGTCCACAAGTCCTCAAGATACCGAGATGGGAGACCCCTGGAGAAGAGGACATTTTGGCTGAGGAATTCTGGGTGTTGAAGTCCACAAGTCCTCAAGGTATCAAGATGGGAGACCCCTGNGGGTCTAGTGTTTGCCATGCTCCTCCCCATAAATGTTCAAAAGGGGAGGAGTCTTGTGTGCACCATGCCCCTCCCCTTGAGTGTGCAAAATGGGAGGGGGTCTAGTGTGCAACAGGCCCCACCCCCTTGAGTGTGCAAAGGGAAGGGGTCTTCTGTGTGCCGTGCCCTCTCCCATGAGTGTGCAAAATGGGAGGGGGTCTAGTGTTTGCCATGCCCCTCCCCCATGAGTGTGCAAAAGGCAAGGGGTCTAGTGTGCACCATGCCCCTTCCAATGAGTGTGCAAAGGGGAGGGGTCTTCTGTGTGCCATGCCCCTCTCCCATGGGTGTGCAAAGGGGGAGCGGGACTAGTGTTCACTATGCCCCTCCTCATGAGTGTGCAAAAGGGGAGGGTCTTGTGTGTGCCATGCCCCTCCCCGAGTGTGCAAAAGGGGAGGGCTCTTGTGTGCACAAAGCCCCTCTCCCATCAGTGTGCAAAAGGGGAGGGGTCTTTTGTGTGCCACGCCCCTCCCCATGAGTGTGCAAGGGTAGGGGCCTAGTGTGCCCCAAGCCCCTCCCCCACAGGGGTGCAACACGCCGTGTCCCTTCTGCTTGCAGTCAAGGGAGGAAACGTTGGGCTCACTGCCCTCTTCATTTGGGGGGCAGTTTCTGCTCAGCCCCCCCAATCCCAGAAGAGGCTCTGAGGTTGCCCCAAACTCAGTCTCGGCTTCTTCTTCTCCCCCCTCAAATAATGCGTTGCAGCTCACGAAAGACTTTTTATCTTATGTATGTGTTTTATTTCCTTTCCGGTTTTTCTTTTCAATCGGGGCACATCAAGGGGTCTCCAGAGGCTTTCGGATTCCTGCAGACACCCCCAGAAGCCCCCGAAAGAGTTTCCAATCAGAGAACAAAACAAAATTGCAATCTATATCACGACTGTGAATTATTACATTTGATTGGAGCTTCATTAGAAGCAGAGGGTTGGAAGGGGCCTTAAGAGGTCTTCTAGTCCAACCCCGTGCCCGAGGCAGGAGTAACGGCTGCAGCAACTGCAACTTCACCCCAAAATATCATTTAAATGTCACTCCGTCCCCTTGAAGGGGTCTCGGATGAGGGGCTGCCACCCTCCCTTCTGAAATCTCCCCTTTTTAATCAGATATATTGGCCACAATGCCCCCCTCTCCTCATTTTTTTTGCAAATCCATCAGGACAACCAGGTGAGCAAGTAAAGGTAGTCCTTGACTTATGACCTTTCATTGAATGACCATTCAAAGTTACGATGGCCTGGAAAAAAGTGACTTACGACGGTTGCCGCATCCCCACGATCAGGTGATCAAAATTCAGACATTTCACAATTGACTCGTATTTATGACGGTTGAATGTCACACAATTCCCTTCATATGACCTGACAAACAAGTCGATGGGGAAACTGGATTCACTTAACAACCGTGTGAATAACTTAACGACTGCGGTGCTCCACTTAACAACCGTGGTAAGAAAGGTCGAAAAATGGGAAAAAGCTCATTTAACAACTGTCTCACTTAGCAACAGAAATTTGGGGCTCAATTATATTCTTCTACAAGACTGCTTGTATAATACAATCTGGTATAATATAAAAGTATACAGGTAGTCCTCAAGTTGCAACAGTTCATTTAGTGACCAAAGTGACGACAACACTGAAAAACATGACTTATGACCGTTTTTCACGACCGAGGCCGCATTCCCCACAGTCAGGTGATCAAAATTTAGCCCTTTGACAATTGACTCATATTTACGACAGACACAAGATCACGTGATCCCCTTTAACGACCTTCGGATAAGCAACGATGACAGGAAAGCCAGATTCACTTAACAACCATGCGACTAACTTAACAACGGTGGTGATTCACTTAACAACCGTGGCAAGGAAACTCAATAAAGGCGGGGGGTGGGAAACTCACCTAACCTCAGAAGTTGTGGGAGCTTCATCCCTGGAAGCTTTCAAGAAGAGACTGGATGGTCATCGGTCAGAAACGGTGTAGGGTCTCTTGCTTGGGTGGGGGGTGGACTAGATGACCTCCAATTTCCCTTCCAACTCTATTTTGATTGAAAGGGTATCAACCGATGGAACAGAAGTTGCCTTCAGAAGTTGTGGGAGCTTCATCCCTGGAGGCTTTCAAGAAGAGACTGGACGGCCATAGGTCAGAAACGGTGCGGGGTCTCCTCCTTGGGGCCAGGGGGCTGGACTAGATGACCTCCACGGTCCCTTCAATCTCTGTTATTCTGTTATTATTCTGTTATTCAGAAGTTGTGGGAGCTTCATCCCTGGAGGCTTTCAAGAAGAGACCGGACTGCTGTCGGTCACAAATGATGTGGCGTTTCCTGCTTGGGTGGGCGTGGTAGACTAAATGACCTCCAAGGTCCCTTCCAAATCCGGCCAGCATAAGGTCTCCTGCTTGGGGGCAGGTGGCGGGGGGTGGGGTTGGACTAAATGACCTCCAAGGTCCCTTCCAACTCTGTTATTCTGTTATTGTCATTCAGAAGTTGTGGGAGCTTCATCCCTGGAGGCTTTGAAGAAGAAGCTGGACTGTCATCGGTCAGAAATGGTGTAAGGCCTCCTGCTTGGGTGGGGGGTTGGACTAGATGACCTCCAGGGTGCCTTCCAACTCTGTTATTCTGTTACTGCTTTCAGAAGTTGTGGGAGCTTCATCCCTGGAGGCTTTGAAGAAGAAGCTGGACTGTCATCGGTCAGAAATGGTGTAAGGCCTCCTGCTTGGGTGTGTGTGGGGGGGGGGGTTGGACTAGATGACCTCCAGGGTGCCTTCCAACTCTGTTAATCCGTATCTCTAACCACTGCCTCGCTTAGCAGGGCTGGGCTCCACTGTGATCTTAAGCCCAGAACAACCTGCATGAAAACTCCTTTTGCAGAATATCAATTATACAAATCATATACAAAATAATATTAATGAGAGTGTTGCTATACAACATGTAAAGAAACTTGCTTTAGCTTCTGACTTGGGAGGCATTTTATGAGCCGAGGGGGAAAGTGTCCCCCCGGGTATTTTGATTTAACTCCTGTTTTCCCCCCCCCCTCCCACGTTTATCTGCCTTAAAGCAAGTGGAGAGGAGAAGGAGGGGTGCTGCGTGCACGAGTCGTGGGAAAGAAAGGGGATTGGGACAAAGAAGACGCCAACTTCATAAGCCTCTCGCCAGCCCTCAAGAGGGCTCCCCCTGCTCCATGAGGACTAGCATCCCCGCCAGCGGCAGCTCCCATCCACGATCTCCTGCTTGCCTCCCCGACCGCCCCCTCCCCATCAAGCCCAGCCCCAGCCCAGCCCACCCTCGGCAGCTGATTCCCTCCCGGCGCTTTGGAGATCTGGCGTCTCCTTCAATGGATTCACCTCCAGGCGGAGAGCCGCAGCTGCGATCCCGGGGGAAGCAGAAAGTTTAGCAGCAGAAGATCTTGCTCGGAAAGACGGGAGCGAAGGCAAGAAAGGAAAGAAGGAAGAACGCCAGAAAGGAAGAGAGCTGTCCAAAAGTCTTGGAGAGGTTTTTAAACTCCGGACCATGTGAAAAAGCGGCTGCAGAATATTTTTTTTCCCCTTCTGCTTGTGCACAAAATGTCCAGATTTGGGTGAAACTAATCCAGCAAGATTTTGCAAAGAAGCTCTTGCTAAAACAGGTAATATTTAATTTTTACACATTTTACTTTTCCCTCTCTCTTTTTAAAAAAAAATCCATTTTATTATCCTGGATGCAAAAGTAAAGAGCAGGCAAAGATTTCCCCCAGCTCCCATGCCATGCTGAGTTTTTGCCTTCTCTCCTTTCCTAACTTCAAGGCAAGACACTGAATGGGTGTGTAAGGCAAGTGCGTTGCACTACGGGCTTGCTTTAATTCAGGGGGTGGTGAGAGGGAACGGGTGTCTCCTAGTTGTGCAACGGGAGAGACCGATCCTCTCCCACCACCCCGGGGAAAAAAATAAAAAATAAATCAAAGCTCCCTTGCAAAGAATTGGGCTTTGAACTTTCTTTCCAAAGCTTTTCCTCCTTCCTTTCTTTTCTCCGTCCGTCCGTCCACGCTCCCCGGTTCTCCGTTCTGGAGGATGAGGAACTGAGCGTGTTTGCACAATGTTTGACAAGTGGGTGCAACAATTTATTTAGCGCTCTCTGCCGCAGATCAAAATCTGGGTTTTAAGGGAGTAGAGGAGAAGTTGAGAGCGAGACTTCAAATCTGGCTAAATCGGAGGATGAAGGGAGCCAGCTTGGTGTGTCTAACCCACTGAAGAGAAAGCTTGGGGGGGGGGGCATGAGAGCATCTTCCAATATTTGGGGGGCTGCCCCAAAGAAGAGGTGGGACACCTGTTCTCCAAAGCACCAAAGAAGGCAGAAGAAAGAACGGATGGAAGCTTAACAAGGGGAGAAGCAACCTAGAATTAAGGAGAAATTTCCTATCAGTGTAATAATTCTGTATTTGTTTGCATCTGGACCCCAAACGTTGCCGCTAAATTGTAATTTGTCTCACGGCGGCAGCACCAGTGAAAAATGTATGAAAATACGAGGATAGCATGAACCCCAAAGAAGAGAACATATATGTAGTTCACGGGATGAACCGTGGAGTTCTCGGCTCTCTCTGAGCTGGGTGGTTTTCTTGCGGACATTTCAAGACCCAACTAAGGAACGTCATCAGTGCTAGAAGAGAGTGGGGTTTGTGGAGGCTTTTAAAGAAAAGAA